AAATATATCCGCGTGTGGTCACGTAAAAAAAAAAAAAAAAATACACAGATACATTAAAGAAAAAAAAGGGGAGGGAAGAGGAAGGATGTGGCTGCCTGCCGATGTTTTGGCCACAAGCCCAAGATAACAGGGCGTAGAAAGTTTCCAGAAGAAGGGATATCCTGCAGCAGCAGCAGCAGCAGCAGCAGAAAGCCAGCAAGCCCATGGAATGAAGACATACCAACACTACAAGCAACCTTAAAACTAGTTGTAAGAATAACTCCGACTTGCCGGTGCTCGTTAATATGGGAGTGGTAATGTAAGTTACCTAAATATATCGTTCGTAACCCAGAGAAGATGATTCTCATACGGAGTAGACTCCCTAACTAATCATGCCAGCTTAAGTTATAGAACAGACTTGGCACATCGGATAAAACCGCTTGCGGCATGGCTGCCAGAAGGAAAGAGACGAGAGAAGAAGAGGTGATTAGCAACGACCAAACACTGCTGAATAATAATTATTATATGAGTCGGGTTGCCAGGCCACAAGGAGAATGGGCTGCAAGTTGTTGCTCTGGTGGATTCGCCTGTCTCCGAGTGGTGGAGAGCTTGTAGATCAACAGGGGGTCAACATGGTGTGATGGTCAACCGTGGGATGGACGATGAGCATGTATAACTGCCAGATGTGTTAGTTTTCAAGTTAGGGATGGATAGTTTGTATGGGGAGCACAGCAGGACTTCACTTCCCATTCTTACATAGTAAGTATGCATATATCGATGGTCGTCTCAACCCCCGACAGGCTCGATGACAACAATGAATAATACTTAATGCCGCCAGCCGACCGTTGCAAAGGAATAGCCGTCCCGTCTGTAAGAAGGTGTATGCTGAGAAAAGTCTCCGTGCATCCCGAAAGTATGTATCTGGTTTAAGAGCAGGGAATGTCCAGTTTCATATATCCCGCATATACTTACCTACTTATACCGATGTCAGTACTGACTGACATCCCATTCGTATAGGGATGTGAATAATAGCACACTTAAGTATATGTGTGTCTGTCCTGGGCTTCTTTGATCCTTAACGTGCTGTCCATTCGATGTTCATGTAACTTAACCTGGGCCCCCTGCCAGTACACGAGCTACCAAGTTAGCCTCGCAGGCTGCTCAACGGCGGACGGCGCCCACTCGAGCGATTAGCAAGACACGATGAAGGCGCTTGCTTGCCTTGTCCGCCATCCACCATGCATGATCCATGATCCATCTCGCTGGGGCCAGCCTGCATTGGGACATTCTGTGACGTGTAGTTATGTAGTTAGCTTGTGTTGCCCAGTAGAAGTGGCAGCCATTCATTCATGATATTCGATCGATGACGACGGCCCAATTGTATGGACGATTTGACCGGACGGTGACCGGGTCTGCGCCTTTCCTCCTTGCCTTGCCCTGCCTTTGACTCGACCTCGTCTGGCTGTCCTCCTCCCTCTTGCGCCTGTCTATGTGTCTGCATCTCCCATCCCATCCCATCCCATCCGCCTTCTCCGTTCTATCACGGCGTCGTGTGTCCCCCTTTTATCGAGTCTGCCACTCGCCGTCTGGCACTGCCGGCTCGTCCAACCACCATCGTCTTCTCCGCCACTGTCTTCCGGCTGCTACCGAGTATATATCCGCCTCTCCCCTCCTCTTCGTCCGTGTCCATCGTTCTGTCGTCCGTTATCATCGTCATCATCGTCATCATCGTCGTCGTCGTCGTCGTCCGTCTTTCCTCTCCTCGACTTTTCGTTGTATCAACCTTACGCTGTAAGTTACCACTTGTATCTTTCGTTACGAGACCGTACACAGGGACCCACCGGCGCCCCGCTCTTATTGGCTGCCGCCGCCAAAGCCAAAACTGCGGCTTTCTCCCTCGGCCGCTTGAACCTTCTGCTACTTCTTCTCGTCCTCGTCCGGCTTTGCTGCTGCTGCTGCTGCTGCTTGCTGCTTGCTGCTTGTCCTGCATCCTGCGTCCTTCATCAACTCCCACAGCTTTGCCAGCATCGACTTCAGCTTGCCTTCGACTGCGATTTTGCCTCCAAGCCTCTGCCAATTCCACTTCTCTGTCGACTCTCGTTCCAGCGGCTGGCTCGTTTCTTCTGTCTGCTGCGTTGCTTGCGTCCCGCGCCGTGCTGTCGACCTATCTATCTATCTCCGCGCTCTCTGCAGGTAGAGAGCAAGAGAAGCCACACCCCTTCAGCTCCAGCACCGGACAGACAGACTACGTTCGCTTCCTGTAGATACACCCTCGAGCTGTTCCTGGGAGAATCCGTACTGTTCTTTGCTCTTTTACTCGGGCTTCTCACCGTCACCGCATCTCTCCTCTATCAATCCACCAGCCCCTTTCTGTCCCGCTCCTGATAACGCAAACTCCAACGACGACGAACCCCCCGAAAAAACTATCCTTCAACGGGGCTGTTCCTCGTTATACCCACTTCATACACATACACAATATACCTGCGAAGGTCGGCCCAGATATCGCATTATGGCTGCCGACACTGGCCTATACAACTCCTCAGAACCTGTCCACACAATGCCCTCCCCTGCCCCAAACGATAGCAATTCCAACGGCACTACCAACGGAACCCATCCCACAGCAAACCATGACAATGAGAATTCACACCCGTCTCCCACCTCCTCCTCTTCCTCGGTCTCTGATGTAGAGTCGGAGCGGAAATCGAGGGCAGACCGCCCCCGCATTGCCAGCAGGAAACCTAGCGCCTCGATACTCGTCCCCCGGGACCACCCTGAGATCGAGATTGAGAAGGAAGAGTTTCCGCCAGACGACGCTCGTGCGATGAGTCCGCGAAGGAACTTTGCAGACGTCAAGAGGCTGGGCACTCAGGCAAGACTTACACTTAAAGAGTGAGTGCTCTCCCCCCATTAATTGGCCCCTGCCCTTCTAACTAATGATGAAACAGACAAGCAAAGACGTTGCAGTCATCTTTACAGGCCCTGGCAGACCGGATTGACGAGGTTAAATCAGACCATGATAAGCTGGAGAACGAGAACCGCTTCCTGCAGGACTACATCGGTGGTTTAACCAGGACCATGTCTACCAAGTCCGAGCTTACCTCAACCAGTGGTGCAGGCAAGGGAAAGAAGTCTCAGAAGTAACCAGGCTCTTCCTTGTTCTCGCTGGCTTCTGGTCACCGCCCGGCGCTTGTACATTCGCATCTTGGAAGATACCATGGAGGCCGTCCTTACTCTAGCCTGATCCGAACTGGACAAACACTTTATTTTACTTCCACCAGCCCCAGCAACCTCTCACACACCGCTCTAACCACGCCTCTCCTACACTTCATACATTCCGACCCCCGACCCCCGACCACACATGGCACATGCCGAACAAGGGACGAGTTTGATACACCGGATAGAATAGTCTGGCTTATCCCTGCGCCACCTTATCGCTCCGTCACTGACCAACCTTGTCCCATTACTTAATTTCATGACCCGGTTACGCTTTATGACACCAATTTTCTTCTTCTTTTTTTTTTTTAAAACAAACAAACCAGCAACCATTAGCATAAGCCGACCCTCATACTTTACCAATCCTCTGCCGAACAGGTCCTCGTGAAATCAACATGACGTTGACCTCTCCGTTTCTTACATCTTGCTGTCTTGCGATGCTATGCTATGTGATGGTATATAACTTTTATGCAACGTCTCTCCCGACAACAGAACAGGGTACTAGAAGCTACTCCTTATTGCCCTTTTTACCCTTTTTTTCCTGTTAATTATTATCTTCAACAACGAGGCCAGCCAAACTGCGCTTGACCTGGGCCCTTTTTGTCTTCTTCTCCTTTTTTCTCTTGGTCCTTGGGGTTTCCTGGTGCTTGCATTGTACTTCTGGCCATGGTTCGAGTATCGATTTGGTGTTGATTTTTGTTTTCTATTTCCACTGGACAATGAATCGGCCGCGATATAAGATACCCTCCGTTGTTCTTGTCGCTTCTCTCTGTTACAGTTCTTCTACTTCTTTTAGACCCCGTTGCTCTTACGACCTAATTTTACTTCTTTAATCTTCTCCTTCGGGTTTACTGCCTCGCTGCTGCTGCTTCTCTTGTCCCTGACGCTCTGTTGCTTTCCATCGGGCTAAAGTCGGTTTTTGGTTAAGCGTCAGACCATGTGACCCGGCTTGAGCCGCCCCAGCCGTCTCCTGGCTTTCCTTCAGCCATCGCCATCTTGTTGCCCCTTGCCCTGCGCATGGCATCCTTCAGGCGAAACCCCCATGCCGACGATACTTTGGCCGTCTCCATGGTTCATTCAAACTGACACAATAAGCAAAAAGTCAAAAAATAAAAATGACGATACCCCGGATTTTGACCGGGTGGCCGGGTACATGGAATATAGGGGAAATGGCGCACCTGACTCCTTGCCAGCGCCGCTTGGCTTCTGGTTAGCCGGGTCGGTGGATTGGATGATGCCCAACGAAACACGAAGCAAACGGGGGAGGGCATCGCAAGCAGACAGGCAGACAGACAGACAGACAAGCAAGCAAGAGGACCAAAACAAAAAAGGAAAAAAAAACAAAAAAAGAAAGAACACGAAAACCATCGCTGGTAGCCGGCGTATCACGGATCATGGATCACGACGTCACGATGTCTGTTTGGCCGCAGATCAAACAAACGGCTCTCTTGACTCGATGATGGGCCAGCTGTGCGCCACACAACCGTTCCAACCTTTCCACACCACACCACACATCGCATGCATGCATGCATGCAGCATCCCTGAGCCGATGGGCTGACGTTTTGACTTGCTTGACCAGGCTTGACCGGACCACTCGGTCACTCACTCTTTTTCGTCCTGGGTTAGATCCAACGGCTGGGTGCATCCGTCATCGTCCCTTTTTCCTGGCTTCTTTCCTTTCTTTCCCCCTTTGACCATACTTGGCTTGGAGCTCCTCTGTTAATGCTTGCTTTTTCCCCCCTATTTCTTCTGGGGATACACTTAATTCCTTGCTCGGCGTGCATGCATGAGTTTGCGTCTGCGTCTGCGCCTGCGCGTGTCCGGGTATACATGTGATGTCATCGGGTAGCTACCTACCTTCTTCCCTTCCTCCCCGGCCTCACAACAGACACCGTTCTCAAACACGTTGATGCGTTTGGTTCGAGTGGATGCATGTAAGCAGCCGTTCATGGACTTCGACGGTCGCTCGCCTCTGTCGTTGTTCCATAGCTGGCCTCTTAACATGCATGTCCCTCCGGTAGGAACAGATGACATATTTCCACCTCTTAC